CCAGATGTAAAAATAATGAACTAATTCCATGACCACATAACACTGAATCGGTGGAAGGTTATTATTGGTTACTCTTATGAAGATCTGTAGTTAAAATGAGCAATAAATAGGGCAGAAAGTAATCAAAAAATATGCAGCTTAGAGAGGAAAATAACTCTAAGAAGCTTACACTTGAGGCCAGGGCATGTTCTGAGAAAGAGGCTATATTAAAGAGATGCTGCCTGCTCTTCGCTGGAACAGGAAAAGTTACCTTGAGGGCAAGGCCCCCATCCCAGGCTTGTGGACTGGGTGTGGACAGGGAGCCCCATGGCATTTCTGCCCCTGGAAAGCAATTGTCAGGGAAGTTTTCAACCAGCTTGAGCACGTGCAAAGGGCTGGAACCGTGGTCCACAGCAGCCGGCCTCCATCCGCAGCTGGAAGCAGAACTCGTCAGTGCTGTTTCCATGACTCTGATTTTGGAATCATGAAAGATGCAAGCTGTGGGATGCCAGAGCTGTGGGGTATCTGCCAAGGAGTGCTGCATACAGGGGTGGAACCAGAATAAGAAAAAGAGAGGGGTATTGCAGGCGACAATGCTGGATGGGTGGAGCCACCTAAGCTTCTGAAAATGAGTCTCTAGAAACTGGGCACGAAGCTACAGGATTTGGTGCTTGTCTAGCTGAATTTCAGGCTAGCTTTGGTCCAATCTTTCAATTCACTATGCCTCAATTTCTCCCTTTGGGAATGGAAATGTACACTTTATGCCACCATATACTGGGAGTAGACAATTTGGTCTGGTTTGTTTGTTTGTTTTTACAGTGTGTCAAAGTTAGGAGATTTTGGACTTTTTTTTAAATTTATTTATTTATTAAAGATTTCTGCCTCCTCCCCACCACCGCCTCCCATTTTCCTCCCCCTCCCCCGATTAAGTCCCCCTCCCTCATCAGCTCGAAGAGCAATCAGGGTTCCCTGACCTGTGGGAAGTCCAAGGACCGCCCACCTCCATCCAGGTCTAGTAAGGTGAGCATCCAAACTGCCTAGGCTCCCCCAAAGCCAGTACGTGCAGTAGGATCAAAAACCCATTGCCATTGTTCTTGAGTTCTCAGTAGTCCTCATTGTCAGCTATGTTCAGCAAGTCTGGATTTATCCCATGCTTTTTCAGACCCAGGCCAGCTGGCCTTGGTGAATTCCCGATAGAACATCCCCCATTGTCTCAGTGTATGGGTGTACCCCTCGCGGTCCTGAGTTCCTTGCTCGTGCTCCCTCTCCTTCTGCTCCTGATTTGGACCTTGAGATTTCTGTCCGGTGCGCCAATGTGGGTCTCTGTCTCTGTCTCTCCTTTCATCGCCTGATGAAGGTTAATATTCAGGAGGATGCCTATATGTTTGTCTTTGGATTCACCTTCTTATTTAGCTTCTCTAGGATCGCGAATTATAAGCTCAGTGTCCTTTATTTATGGCTAGAAACCAAATATGAGTGAGTACATCCCATGTTCATCTTTTTGGGTCTGGCTTACCTCACTCAGGATAGTGTTTTCTATTTCCATCCATTTGTATGCAAAATCCAAGAAGTCCTTGTTTTTTACTGCTGAGTAATACTCTAATATGTATATATTCCATACTTTCTTCATCCATTCTTCCATTGAAGGGCATCTAGGTTATTTCCAGGTTCTGGCTATTACAAACAATGCTGCTATGAACATAGTTGAGCATATACTTTTGTTGTATGATAGGGCCTCTCTTGGGTATATTCCCAAGAGTGATATTGCTGGGTCCAGGGGTAAGTTGATCCCAAATTTCCTGAGAAACCGCCACACTGCTTTCCAGAGTGGTTGCACAAGTTTGCATTCCCACCAGCAATGGGTGAGTGTACCCCTTTCTCCACAACCTCTCCAGCAAAGGCTATCATTGGTGTTTTTGATTTTAGCCATTCTGACAGGTGTAAGATGGTATCTTAAAGTTGTCTTGATTTGCATTTCCCTGATCGCTAAGGAAGTTGAGCATGACCTTAAGTGTCTTTTGACCATTTGAAGTTCTTCTGTTGAGAATTCTCTGTTCAGCTCAGTGCCCCATTTTATAATTGGGTTGATTAGCCTTTTACGGTCTAGTTTCTTGAGTTCTTTATATATTTTGGAGATCAGACCTTTGTCAGTTGCGGGGTTGGTGAAGATCTTCTCCCAGTCAGTGGGTTGCCTATTTGTCTTAGTGACAGTGTCCTTTCCTTTACAGAGCTTCTCAGTCTCAGGAGGTCCCATTTATTCAATGAGGCCCTTAATGTCTGTGCTGAGATTTTGGACTTTTAAGCACTGTTGGGACTATTAAAGACTACAAGGACTTTTCAGGTTTGGCTAAACATCATGAAAAGGCCATAAACATTTTGTGGCCAGAAAAGGAATGTTGTGGTTTCAATAGGAAGTGTCTCCTGTGGACTCTTCTGTTTGAACTCTCGGTCTCCAGCTTGCGGCAGTGTTTAGGAAGATAGGGGATGGAGGAGGTAGAGCCTTGCAGGATGAAGGGTGTCACTGGGGAAAGCTTTGAACTGAATCTAACACAGATGCTCTGGCCCTGAGCCGCATCACCAGCCCAATGAAGATGGCTTTCCACATGAATCTTTTGAGTCATTGGTACTGGTGGGCATGGCTGTTCATGTTTGCAGTCCCAGCATTTGAGGAGGAAGCTGAGGCAGGAGGATTGCCACAAGTTTAGCCCACCCTGGGATACAGTGTGAGAGTCTATCTCAAAGGACCACTGCCAACAAAAATTCAGTGGCACTTCATCTTTTCTAGATCATACACATCAATAAATAACTAACTTATTAATGTGTGGCACTCTTCTGAGAATCCACACGTAAGTAGTTTCACAAGTAATCGTAAGATGTTCGGGAAGCCTACAGAACTGTTAAAGATGACTTGTATTAAATATTCACATACTTGGCTCTCCTACCTCTCTCCCTCCCTCCCTTCCTTGTAGCACTAATTCTAATTGGTATTAGTAATAAAAACCCAGAGTCAAATATATGGTTTAGTGCTGAAGCTCAGAGAAGCAGAGAGGCCAGTCACTAGACATTTCTTTTACCTCTACCAATGCTCAAACTGAAAGGGTGATCCTGTCCTCAGACTATATCTCCAGACTCTATCTGTCTTTACCAAACCTCAGACTGCAACTGTCTCCACCAAACCTCAGATTCCCCTTAGCTCCTGTCTCCTTCTGCCTTATACTCCTCTCTCCACCCAGCCATATCACTCCTGTCTCCACCTCCCTAGTGCTAGGATTAAAGGTGTCTTATCCCAAGTGCCGGGATCATCTTTCCATGAGCTCTGTTTCTCTTTTATACCTATTCAATCTCATGTAGCCCAGGGTGGCCTTGAACTAACAGAGATCTGTCTACCTCTGTCTACGGAGTCTTGTAATTAAAGGTGCATGCCACCACTCCCTGGCCTTTAGTGGCTTCGCTCTGCGCTGTAATCTTCAGGCAAGCTTTATTTGTTAAAACATAAACAAAATATCACTACACTTTCTTCTTTCCTTCCTTCCTTTCTTCCTGTTTTCCTTCTTTGGCAGGCTTATTTTTGAGGACATGTACCTGTGGCTGTAAATTAACCAACTAACTAAAAAATAATATAAAAAATACCATCATATACTTAATGGCAAAGCCAACTAACATGGTTTGTTTGGATTACTGTCTTTTTGCATATTATACACATACTCTCAGCAGACACTGAAAGAAATCTGGGCTGGTGCTCTTAGGTTTTATAAGAAAGCAGCCGAGCAGAGGAAGCAAGCCAGTAAGCAGCCTCCCTCCATGGTCTCTGCATCAGCTCCTGCCTCGAGGATCCTCTCCTGTTTGCTTTCTTGTTCTGTCTTCCTTCAGTGATGAACAGTGATGTGGAAGCGTAAGCCAAACATACGCTTTCCTCCTCAAGTTGCTTTTAGGTCATGGTGTTTCTTCGAGGCCACTGAAAACCTGAGACATGCAACAACCCAGAATAAAGGAGCCGAGACAAATGGAGACTCCAGCACCTGACCGGAGCTTCCAAAGGACCTATGTCGTTTTCATGGGAAATGGCGGGAAGAGTCTTCCAAGATCTGGAAGGGCCCTGGACTCCTGGATTGCTGACACAGTCTCTAAGACAGCCAGTGACAACTCAGAATTACCTTCATACTTAGGTAGCCTCCTGCTCTCCTCCTGGAGGGGCTACGGGTATACTATGGAGACCCAGGACTGAGATTGTGTATCAGATGCCTCAGAGGTTCTTATAGTGGGGGGATGTTCCTGATGAGGTAATCTCGGGGAGCCCAGGGACATGCTGTCAGGAGCTAAACATGTCCCCTCAAAATGCAGGTGCTGAAGTCCTTACTCTTCCCCACACAATGTCTTAGACTTTGGAGACAACGTCATTAAAGAAGTTACGTTGAAATAAGGGATTCTAATTCAATAGAAATGATACCCCCATTAGAAGGCAGAGAGCCACCCAGAGTGGCCACAGAGCTCAGACCTTGTGAAGACATGGTGATAAGATGCCTAAGATAAGCCAAGAGTGGCCTCCAGTATCCGGACACTTTGACCGGAGGCTTTGTGCCTACTGAACCATGAGAAAGTGTCTACTGTTTAGCCACCTGCGCCCTAGCAAATTCATATGACCACCATCAGAACACCAAGAGGCACCTCTGAGAAAAACATCCAGAGCCAGCAGACACCTATTTTATTTGAGATTTGGTGTTAGGGTAACAGTGTTACTTCATATTAATCCCTTAATTTCCTCACTAATGAGTTTTAAACAATGCCTCGAAGTCAAAATTACCACCACCGTGTAATGTTCCCATAGCTCAGAGCTCTGGCGGACCATCCAGGAGGAAAGAATGCAACTGTATTTAAAGATGGGGGACCACCCACAGAAAGAACGCAACTGTATTTAAAGATGGGGGACCACCCACGGAAAGAGTGCCCGTACTTAAAGACAAGCATGATGAAATGACAAAGTGAAATGCAACGGGAATCCGACAAAAACCACAACCCCTTACCTTACGATTGTGGGATACAGCTCCGCTGTGTAAATGAAAAGGAAGGCTAATGCTGACCCTGTAGCAGTTTTGACAGTCAAAACCGCCGTTGTCTTCAAAGTCTTGTGACTCTGTGGGCACACAAGGGAAATATGACATCATCAAAATGACCTAAAACTTTCTTATTCCACCCATATGTCTTGTAACAACAAAGAGTTTTAATTTTCCTATTTGGATTTATTTTGTAAACTCAACTCATAGACTGCAAAAGCTTTCTATCATGAACCTTCGGGGAAACGGTGCCCTCCCATAACCCTGGAGGGACTGGAAGCCTGTCAGGAAGAAGGCTTTGGGGTGAGAGTCACCTGAATGGTACAGATGGCTGGTACCAGCACCAGTCACTGACCCAGCAGATTGGAAGGAGCCCTCGGAGCACAGTGTGCATTTAGATAAAGCACACAAGGTTTGTAAGTTATCTCCAAACACACCTGTTGGCAAGCTCCTTCAGTAGCTCTCACTCCCAGTCCCTGACCCATTCTCTGCCGTCTCCAATGGGTTCCACTTCCAGGGTGGCTCATGAGTATGTCCATGGTCTGCCCTCTCCTTTATCTGGTAGGTAGATGTCAAGTACTCTAACCTAAGGGTTCCTGTGTTCAGAATGGTAGCCCTGAGGCTGGAGAACTCTTTTGGGTCTTTGTTGTTTTGTTTTGTTTTGTTTCCACTATTGTAGCCCTTCAAAATTTTATTTGAAACAAGATAGCCTTAGTATCACTTTGGCAGTAAGTATGTGCCTAAGAGGGAGATGGAAAGAGAAGAAAAGGTAGGGGGGAGGCAGGGGCAGCTCATCCACTCTTGTGACCTCAGGGCCAGCCCTCCCACCTGCCTCAGAGAGTGATGGGGGCATCTCCCCCCCCCCATGCTGCCACATGATAGATGAGTCATGGGGACAACTTACACTTGCCCCTCTTGCAGAAGGCCTGTGTTTGGTTCCCAGCACCCACACGGCAGCTACATGATGAAGGAGGGTCATCTGTCTATCTGTTGCTTTCATTAGTTAATTAATAAAGAAACTGCTTGGCCTGATAGGTCAAAACATAGGTGGGTGGAGTAGACAGAAGAGAATGCTGGGAAGAAGGGAAGTGAGGCAGATGCCTCAGACAGATGCTATAGCTCTCCTCTCCAAGATGGATGCAGGTTAAGATCCTTCCTGGTAAGCCACCACCTCATGGTGCTACACAGATTATTAGAAATGGGTTAACCAAGATGTGAGAATTAGCCATTAAGAGGCTAGAACTAATGGGCCAAGCAGTGTTTAAAAGAATACAGTTTCTGTGTAATTATTTTGGGTGTAAAGCTAGCTGGGTGGCGGGACACAGCCCATTGCTCCTACTACAGCTACAACCATTTGTAACTCCAATTCTTGGGAACCAGATGCTGTTTTAGCATCCCAGCACACCAGACATGCGCATAGTACACAGACAAACACACAGACAAAACACCATTACATGGGAAATACAATGATAATAATAACAATGGCAGTACCGAATGACTCTTTGGAGCCAAGTAGGACCTTCCTAACTCTGGCTAGCTCATCAGTACACCACACAAACTTCCTCTGAGAACATATATAATTCATATTATGTTATGTCGTAAGGTTTGGGGTACCTCTAAGACTGCTAGTGTCCCTGTTACGGTGGGCAATATTTGTTAAATGAATTGGTTCCTGTTTTGTTTCTGCTTACCCAGTGCTGGACCACGTGCCAAGCAATCATAGTACCACTAAGCTACAGCCCCAATTAGCATGAATAAAAAATCATTATTTTTACTATGTTGACATTATCTTTGAGGGAGAAATTCTCTTATAGGAAATATATTTAAAGTTGCGAATTACTGTTTTATTTCTAGAAGTTTCCAGCAATCACTCTCTTTTCTTCCCTACTACTAAGAAATAGGAAGTTTTTGAGAATCTGCTAGATCCAAAGGCAGCTGCCCCCAAGCCAGCTCAGCCACCTTTGCAAAGGGATAGATAAAGCTCTCTCACGCCAACAGCGACTTCCCTGCCTGAGTAGTTTTACTCGTAGTAACTGTGTGCCAATCACTTGGAAGTTCAGTGTTGTGAAACATTTGGCTCATTTGGCCCTGGTAATTAGGTCGTGTTTCCATGGAAGGATACCACTTACCGCTTAAACTGACCTTCGTGCAATATGCAAAAGTTAAAATGCTTTGCTCTAAACATTGCTGCATTATTATTCAATATTTTCTAAAGAAAATGATATGAAAATATAGCTGTGGCAACCACAGTTTGCAATTCGGGGTTAAAATTCAGGCTCCCCTAGCACTGGCCCAGGGTCTTCCAGATGCCGTGGTGACTATATATGCTGTGCTTCACCGAAATACGGGGTGGAAAAGCTTCTTCCATCGTGCCAAGGAGCCCCTCTCATTAAACTGCATTTTAAAAGCCATGGTTTGGGGTAGGGAGCGGAAGGGATGGCTCCGTGGCTAGAAATGGGTACTGCTCTTGTAGAGGACCCAAGTTCAAGACCCAGCACTATTGGGTAGCTCAGGACTACCTATAACTTTGACTTCAGAGGGATCCAATGCCTCCAGGTCCCACAGGCACCATTCACATGCTTCCACATAGGCACATATACACACACATTCATGTAATTTTAAGTAGTAAAATATAATTATTCAAATCCAAGTTTCTCGGATGATTGATGTGCGTTACATTCGAAATCACTGGTCGGCTATGGGAAAAGCAGCAGAATGATGTGAACATTTGATTCATTGGGTCATGCAGATGTCCCCGCGGCTCCTGTATTCGGGTTTCTGACTCTTAGGAAACTGGCCTCTATGTTTAGGCTAGATCCCACAACCCAGACTAAGCCACACCCTCCTGCAGCTCTCTCTGGGACAGAGTTCAAAGTCAGTCTGCGCTGTCCCTTGGCAACTCTCCAATCCTGGGTCTTGGCTCCCCCATGCTCCTTGGCACATACGTTATTGCTGAACTAGATCACATGATGGGAAACTTCCTGCTACCTCTAGAAGGTTCTGAAAGCCAGCTTTATGCTTTGTTCAGGAGACTGGTCCAGAGATTTCTCGGGGCGGGGGGGTCAAGAAAGTGCTCTGAAAAGCTGGAGACTCCTCTTGTCTCCCCGTACCCCATCATTTCTCTCATGGCCACTACCTCTCTTCCTGTCTGTCTCTCTCTCTTCCTCTCTGTCTGTCTCTCTGTCTCTCTCTGTCTCTGTCTCTCTCTCTCTCTCTCTCTCTCTCTCTCTCTCTCTCTCTCTGTCTCACAGTTAATGAAGCCCCTTTCTCCAGAAGTCTCCCCTCCCCTTTAAGGCCCTACCATGTTTAGATGTGCATACACTGTCCTGTTTCTATCTAATGCCCCACCTCCCACCCTGAAGCCCAGTTATGGCCTTGAGGTTCATCCATTCTAATGGGCCTCATACCGGAATGGGATTCTGTGCCAGCCCCCTTACTTGACTGTGTGGTGCTCTGCAGGGAACCACGGGGTTGGCCTGACCTAGCTGCCTTGAGAGGCATGCCTCATGGGTTTTCAGGTTAGAGTCCGTGGCTCTTGGGGCACAGTGTGTCTCAGGGCATCAGGACATCAGTCCTGAGAGACCAGTGTACTCCCTCAGGCAGTGAAGCACCCAGGCAGCTTTGTGTTTCTCTGTATGTTGCCTTAGTAGTCAAGGAAGCCTGGAAACTTGACAGGACAGTTGGTCTTTGACATTAATCTTGTGTACCCTGTGTGGCTTGCAAAGTTCATCGTATCCTAGCAGCTACAACTGTATTGATCCTGGCTATCGCCATTATGTTCTGTTTCTGAAAAAGGTTTAAAATGTCGATTGCTCTCAATAAAATTGTCACAGCCTCGGTGATGCTGTGGCCCTCCAACCTGACCTGATTCCAGTTCCTCGCAGCCGTATCAGGTGGCGTTGGCCAGGTAAGCAAGTGCGGGCTCTTACAATGCTCTCCTTAGCTTATCACTGACCGTGTGTCAGCTCTGAGAGGCCTATGGCCCTAGCTAGGCCCCTTCCTCCCTCTCTGATTCACACTTCCTACAAATATCCAGTCATTCTCTCGCCCTCGTCCCTTTTGCTTGGCATTTCATTTACAGAACCTTGGCTCACTGTCTTCATCTCAGGCTGCAGGATTCTTGCTGGACCCGGCCTTGCTGAGTGTCTCCGTGACCGGTGTCGAGCGCCATTCGGTGGCCAGAGGGGAGAACGACTCAGTTGGCAGAGGGCTTGCTGGGCATGCGTGAGGCCCTGAGGGTCAGTCTCAAGCACTAGATGTATCTGGGCGTGATGGTGTAAAGCCTGCAATCCTGAGACAGGAGGGTGAGGAGTTCAAGGTCACCCCTGGCTCTGTCCTGAGTCTGAGGCCAGCCTGAGCCACAGGAAACCAAGTTCCAGAGTCCCCGGCAGGTGGAATCAACCTCTCTCCCAGGAAACTGTCGCATTTTTAAAATACCACAGGCACCCTCTTTAGTGTGGGGGTTCAAACACAGTGTTTATATGAAGACAAAGAATGTGTTGTTTTTTTTTTAAGAAGACACCTTTAAATACTATCTATTTCTTCTGTCTATGTGGCTGAATTGATCTTCACACTTAAAGGCACTAGAAGTCTTTCCGTGACACTGCCACAGCCATTCCATAAAACAGAGTGACTCACCGGGGGCGTGGCCACGCACGCGACGCTGATGAAGGAGGCCAGCAAAAGGCAGGAGACCGCGGTGTATCTTCTTCCCACCCTATCCAAAGAGATGCATATAAAGAAGTAGACGGGTATTTCCAAAGCACCTGTCATCGAACCGAAGAGCGTGTGTGAGACTGCTGCCCTGCCGAGACACGCGGTCACCCCCACATCGGTTTACCACCCAGAAGGAGCCGGCAGCCCACTTCCTGCCTCCCGGCACTAATGAGCCTTGGCACAAGCTCTAATGTTCTTCCTCGCTTGGGCAAAACAAAGTCTTTCCCGTGAAACCACTAGGCTGACAAAATCCACCGGAGCCTTTTACCAGCGCTGTCCTAGGAGCTGAGCTCGCTAGGACCCTGTGTGCTGCCCAGAGACAACTTAGGTCAACCACCCTGATTCCTGCCATCAGTCTCTGCTCTCAAAAGTAACACAAGGCCAGTTTTACATAGTTATTGTCATGAGATGGATGAAATAAAACCAGTCCACCATAGATAAACACTTCGACAGCTCTCCTCGTCTGAAAAGAACGTGGGTTGACTTTACATTACAGCCAGTCGGTCATAATAGAGGTCAAGACGCTTCCTCCTTCACATTTTAACACTGCTGTCTCTCACTTCAAAACTATTTTTTTGTGGAACAATAAACTTCTAAACTTAAAAAAAAATGTTGAAGTAATAAGGGCGACGGTGAGGCTGCGTCCCCAACACCCCAGCCGCCTTCCCCGGCTAGCTTATGCCCCAAAATAATTACACAGACACTGTATTCTTTTAAGCACTGGTTGGCCCTTTAGCTCTAGCACTTACAGGCTAATTCTCACATCCCGATCAACCCATCTCTAATAATCTGTGAGAACCGGTCTTACTGGGAAGATTCTAGCCTAGTCCATACTGGGTCGGAGCTTCATGCCGGGAGCGGGGCATGGCGTCTCTCTCAGGCGTCTGCTCCTGAGAGGAAAGCTGTCGAGACTCTGACCTCACTTCCTCTTCCTCCCAGTGTTCTGTCCTGTTTTCTCCTCCCACCTATCCTCTAACCAATAAAATGGGCCAGGGCAGTGCCTTTATTAGCCAATGACCTTCCTCCATCAAAATGTGATTTAAATTTTTGGCAAAATTAAAGCAGTAAGCTACTAACTAAAGTAAGAACTGAATACATTAATAGCAACTACTTCATATATATATAATATATATGTTACATATAAACATTTTTTAAGACAGGGTCTCACGCATCTCCAGGTTAGCCTCAAACTCACTGTTTAGCCAAGGACAAGGATGACCTTGATCCCCTGCCTTCACCCACCGAGTGATGAAATTACAGGTGCAAACTACCAGACCCTTACTGATGTGAGGTTGGGCACGGAACCCAGGGACTCCAAGTATGAGAGGTAAGGACGCCACCAACTGAGCTATAACCTGAATCCCCATTTATTAGATTTTAAACCTAAGATAAAGCCGTTTAAAATCTAATAATCTCACTCAGGATAGTGTTTTCTATTTCCATCCATTTGCATGCAAAATTCGAGAAGTCATTGTTTTTTACCGCAGCATAGTACTCTAATGTGTAGATATTCCACACTTTCTTCATCCATTCTTCCATTGAAGGGCATCTAGGTTGTTTCCAGGTTCTGGCTATTACAAATAATACTGCTATGAACATAGTTGAACAAATGCTCTTGTCATATGATAGGGCATCTCTTGGGTATATTCCCAGGAGTGGTATTGCTGGGTCCAGGGGTAAGTTGATCCCGAATTTCCTGAGAAACCGAAACACCGATTTCCAAAGTGGTTGCACAAGATTGCATTCCCACCAGCAATGGATGAGGGTTCCCCTTCCTCCACAGCCTCTCCAGCAAAAGCTATCATTGGAGTTTTTTATTTTAGCCATTCTGACAGGTGTAAGATGATATCTCAAAGTTGTTTTGATTTGCATTTCCCTGATTGCTAAGGAACCCAGACCCAAAAAGATGAATATGGGATGTACTCACTCATAATTGGTTTCTAGCCATAAACAAGGGTCACAGAGGCTACAATTGGTGATCCCAAAGAAGCTAAGTAAGAAGGTGAACCAAAGGAAAAGCATATAGTTGTCCTCTTGGCTATGGGAAGTAGACAAAATTGCCGGGGAGAAATTTGAGAGCTTGGGGGTGGGGTGGGATGGGGGTAAGGGGAGATGGGGAGAGAAAAGGGAGAAGGGGAGAATGGGGGGAACTTGGGGAAAAAGGAGGATTGGGATACAGGAAGGTTGGATAGGGGAGCACGGAAGCGCAATTCTTAGTTAAGGGAGCCACCTTAGGGTTGGCAAGAGACTTGAAACTAGAGTGGCTCCCAGACGCCCAAGCCAAGGTCCCCAGTTAGTTCCTTGGGCAGCTGAGGATAGGGAACCTGAAATGACCCTATCCTATAGCAATACTGACGAATATCTTGCATATCATCATAGAACCTTCATCTGGTGATGGATGGAGACAGAGACAGAGACCCACATTGGAGCACTGGACTGAGCTCACAAGGTCCCAATGAGGAACAGAAGGAGGGAGAACATGAGCAAAGAAGTCGGGACCACGAGGGGAGCACCCACCCACTGAGACAGTGGAGCTGAACTATTGGGAGCTCACCAAGGACAGCTGGACTGTGACTGAAAAGACATGGGATAAAACTGGACTCTCTGAGCATGGCGAACAATGAGGGCTGATGAGAACCCAAGGACAATGGCACGGGGTTTTGAACCTACGTAATGTGCTGGCTTTGTGGGAGCCTAGCCAGTTTGGATGTTCACCTTCCTAGAAATGGACGGAGGGGGGAGGACCTAGGACTTACCACAGGGCAGGGAACCCTGACTGCTCTTTGGGCTGGAGAGGGAGGGGGGGGAGGAGTGGGGGGAGGGGGAGAAGGGTGGGAGGAGGGGGAGAAGGGTGGGAGGAGGGGGAGGGAAATGGGAGGCTGGGAGGAGGAGGAAATTTGGTTTTTTTTTCTCCTTTTCTCAATAAAAAAAAAAGTTAAAAAAATAAAAAATAAAATTAATAATCTCCTTGCAGCAGGGTCTTTGTCTCTGATCTCTCTTTACTTGACTAGAATGGAAAAAAAAAAACCTGAGTCCATAAACATATAGATCCATTCATGCAAAAATCCCTTACCTTATAGGACCAAAGCTTGCCTCTTAGATCCAAAGCATGAAACTCTTGGATACGGCTGTACCACGAAGCTTCCTAACCCCTCCATGGACACTGCACTCCCCCTGCCTCTGCTGCAATTTGCTGCCATTCCAGAAAAGCTACATCATTTCTCAAACCGATGGACACAATGGGGTGGGCTTTTCTTTTTCTTTCTTTCTTTTTTTGTTTTTTTGTTTTGTTTTTCCAAGACAAGGTTTCTCTGTAGTTTTGGAGCCTGTCGTGGAACTAGCTCTTGTAGACCAGGCTGGCCTCAAACTCACAGAGATCCGCCTGCCTCTGCCTCCTGGGTGCTGGGATTAAAGGCGTGCACCGCCACCACCACCACCCAGCTTGGTGGGCTTTTCTTACATTGCCCCAAAACATGTGCTTCTTAAAATAATTTTTCTCATAATTCTTGCTGAATGATAATAAACAAAATAGACATGTCATCAGGGTACTTGGATGGGAAAGTACGATGTCTACGTATAAAAATGTAAAAGCAATATTTTTCTGAGGATAATATAAAATGCAGCCCACACAGAAACAACCAGTGCAGACCAGATGGAGAAACACAAATTTCTAACGTCTGTCTATGTCTTCCCACCCTGTCCATTTAGCTAACATTTGGCTATCCTTGGAGCTACAATCTGCCCTATCTAAATCATTCTAGCTTTTACTAAAATAGACAGGACAATAGTAATAGTTGCTTGTAATGGAGCTCTTTTTACAAATTAAGGGCATACGGATGGCCTCAAGGCATACGATACCAAAAGAAAGGCAACTGACCCAGGACAGTGGGTAGTAAAAGATGTCTTCAAGCCAAGCCATGGAGCATTTGTGTGCATGTAGGTTGAGATGCAAAGAAAGAGGGCTGAGTCTGTTCAAGCCAAACATTCTCGACTTTTTCTCTGGAAAGAACTACAAGTTAGGGATGAAGAAAGCAAGTCAGAAAGGAAAACGAGGAATTAAAAAAAAAAAGAGGAACTTAGCCCTTGTTACTCATCCTTTTTTCCAGACAAATATAACTCTCATCCTAAAGTATAATGACACTGGAAGATATCACACTAATGCGGCCACCGGTGTTGTTCTTTCAACACCGGGGCTTCGGAAGATAATCAAAACACGGCAGAAACGTGACTTGCGTGGCCGTCAGGAACATCTGTTTCCCACTCACCCACGACGAAGAGGTACAGGTGCTGATCTTCCTTTTTCCAAGTAGCCTCCATGAAAAATATGTAGTATCCCAAATTTGCTGTGAACCAAACCAGCCAAACAATGAGCGTCCTTTTTGCGACATCCCAGTCATGGAACAGATCTGCCAGGCTGAGTTTCCGGAAGGCTGGACAGCTTTCATCACAGGAACTACTCATGTCCAGTGATAAAAGTTCTGCCAGGTCACAGGGGCGGGATTTATTCCACACAGCCATGGCATTGATGACCCCTTGAGCTTCTTTGTATCTTCCCTCTGAGATCAGCCAAAGAGGGGTCTCTGGGAGCATCCAGCAACACAGGATGAAAGGGGCAGTCACTGTGCACAGGATGATCTGATAAAGCCACCAGGCGTTGACCAAGGAGCTTACCAAAGCCACCAGCATTACGCCAATAGCAAAGAAGGTGTTCAGATGCACGGATGCCCATGTGCGAGACTTCTTGCCGACAAACTCCATCACATAGACAAAGGCCACCCCAAAATAGCCACTGAAAGCCTGAGAGGCAAGGAGACAGTAATTAGGGTATAGTTACAATACTAAGAGGTCTGAGTTCTTCGCAAACTCATTTTAGAAAGAAATACCTTTCTTCTCTATGCGCGTCCCTCGCTACCTCATTAGCAAACTTAAAAGGCTATTTATGATAAACGTATTAAATGCCACATTGTTTAATAAGAGTTCCAGTATAAGACAGACTTATTTCTCAGTTTCTTCTGAGAGCACGTACCAATGTATCAGTATGCCGTTGTTATACGCTAATCTTAAAATAGGGACAAGATTTTATGGGGACTCGTGGGAGGGAAAGTAGACTCGGTTAAAGCTTTATTTTGATAGGCAACAACAGTGAGCAAATTGGACTTGATCAAAGTCAAGACTTCTGGACTTCAAAAAAAAATACTACCAATACTGCCAACAGAGTAAAAAGACCTACTACAGAATTAGAGAGAAATACATGTGTCTGGTAAAAGATTTTACAGAGAACTCCTACAGCAAAACAGAGTACTCAGAAGACCAATTCAGTTCAAAAACAGACAAACGACTTTTGAGTGGGCATTTCACAAAAGCTATCTAGGTGGCCAAAAGCACATATTTGACATCACTGTTAAATAGATGCAGGCCACACCTGTGGTGACACCCGGCCCAGGGGCTGGAGAAATGGCTCTGTGGTTGAGAGCACTGGCTTCTCTCTCAGAGGACTGGGGTTTGACTCCCTCTATCCACATGGCAGCTCGCAAGCATCCAGTTTGAGGGGATCTAATGCTCTCTTCTGGCCTCTGAGGGCATTGTACACATGTGGTACACAGACATACAAAACATCTATACACATAAAATAAAAATAAATATTTTTCAGAGATACCTACTAAAAAAACAAGAAAGAAATGCAAGGGATGTAGAAAAATTGGAATCATTGTGCGCCGTTGATAGGAATGTAAAATGGCCTCTGTGGAAGGCAGTACGGCAATTCCTTAAAAAAAAATTAAAAATATTACAAGATCCCATAATCCCACTCCTTAGTATATAACTCCCTACAATAAATGAAAGGGAAGCAAGATCCTAGAGAAGTGTTCAAGCACCCATGTCACCAACGACAAATTCACAGTGGCTGAAATACAGAAGCAATCTGGATGTCTATCCTCAGATGAATACACACATCTGTGGATATACAGAGAACCGCTGGGCAGTCTTAAATGCAAATTAAACCTGGTTTATATTAAAGACGAATTAACTTGGAGGATACTGCACAAGTGAAACAAGGAGAGCTACAAAAGAACAAAAGTTATCTTGTGCCACTGGAGATAGTGTCTAGTAGCCTGCATCGCAAAGACAAAATGTCGTGCTTAGGAATGAATCCCTGTTTAATGGCCAACGAGTTTTGATCTTGTAAAGGACAACCGTACTTAGATATAACTTACCTCAATAGAAACTTGCTATTTTTTTTATTTTGAAAATAATGTTGTTTTGCCGTTGTTTTGTTTATCACTACGTAGCCCAGGTTAGCCTCCAACTTGTGGTCTTCCTGCCTGGTGATGAGAGTATAGCCTGCACTACCACCCCTGGCTAAAATATGCCTAACTTTAATTTAACAAAACTCAGATTAGAAAAGCAGTGTTCTCCGTGTTCTTGGGATGAACAAAGATCGAATCAAATGATCAGTTCTAGATGGTCATGGAGTCGCATGTCTTTCATGGGGAAGCAGAGAGAGGCAGCTAGGCCTGCAGAGTAAGCCTCTATAGCAGAAACAATACAAAACAAATTATTAGTTAGGTTGCAGAGATGAATTTTTCTTATAGTTATTTCGTGTTGGACTGTACCAACAAAAAGTAAAATTAATGGAATTGCTAGGATTTTGGTTTGGTCTGGGTTTGGGTTTTTAGGGGTAGAAAAGACTTCATTTCGCTTACAATTCAAGGTTCCGGTCTGTTTTGACAGGACAATCAAGGTGCAGGAACTTCAAACAGCTAGCCACGTCTCCTCCAGCCAGGAGTGGAGGGAAATGAACGCAAGTGTGCATGGCTTGCTGTCAGTTTTAATTGTCCAATGGACACAACCTACCATCACATGGGAAGAGGGTCTCAGTGAGGGATTCTCTGGAGTAGGCTGGCCTGCAGACATGCCTGGCAGGTTATCTCGATTACATTCATCGACATCGGAAGACCCAGCCTAAAAGTGGGCAGCATCACTCCCCCAGCTCGTGGACTGGACTCGGTCGAAGAGGAGCAGGAAAACTAAGACATGTAAGTATCGCTCTCGTTACTGCTGCTGTTTTATGTACATGGGTGTTCTGCCTGCCTGTATGTCTGTGAGCCAAAGTGCATGCCGGCTGCCCAAGGAGGCCAAAAGATTGTGTCAGATTCCCTAGAACTATAGTTAGACAGTTGTGAGCTGACTTGTGGGTGCTGGGAATTGAATCTAAGTCCTCTGAAGGGCAGTCACTGCTCGGACCATCTCTCCAGTCCATACACACATTAAGTCTCTACCTTTGACTACGGATGCCACAAGCTACTTCAAGTCCCTGCCTTGATTTCCCCACAATGATGGGCTCTAATCTGAAATCGTAAGCTAAATAAATCCTTTCTTCCTTAAAGCTGCTTTGGGGCAGGAGGCATTTCTTCACAGCAATAAAGATGAAACTAGAACAGATATTGATTTATTGCCAAATTCTCCTAGAGCAGCACTGATTTTCCCAAAGGTCCCTCCTCATCCTCTAGTGTGAGAATTTCATACATAGGTTCCATATATGTGTTCCTCTCCCCCTCCAGCCCTTCCCATGCCCCCTCTCAAATTCATGATCTTGTCTTCAATTATTGTTTTACAGACACACACACGCATGCTTGGACACATGCACACACGCGCACGTGCACACACACACACACACAATCTGCTGAGTTAATTTGATGTTGCTGGTATCCATATGTGCTTAAGGCCCAGGGAGGCTCATCCTTAAAGAGCACAGTCGTCCCCCCCCCCATCCCCTGCCCCTCAGTAGCCATTCATTTCCTGCATCCATTCATCTAGGGATGGGTGCCTGGGCTATTTCCATCCACAGTGCAGTGTCAACTGATGCTGACATTGTGCAAGACTGTTTAGGTGACCAGGCTGTCTAGGTTTCGTGGGTACACCTCCCCGTTGGGTAGAGAAGACTATCTCAAAGCCGACTTCCCTGTCCTCTGGCTCTTCCAGGCTTTCCGCCCCTCTTTGGTGACATTCCCTGATGGTGTTGTAGGTATATCAGGTATTGCTAGGCACTCCGTGGTCGGTTGTTTTCTACATTGTGACCAGGAGGGGTGTGTCTGTGGTGGTCTGTGTCTGCTGCAGGGAGAGGCTTCTTTGATGGGGTGAGAGACACACAGACTTATGGGTATGAGGATCAGTGCTAGAACACAGTTAGGGGCTATGTTGGGCTAGGAAAATGGTGGCAGCAGAGTCTCCTAAAGGGTTGAAAATTCCACCAGCCATAGGAGGTTGGCTAGACCCACAGTATGAGCTGAGTTGCCTCACTGACCCGAGACATTTACAGTTTGTGTGCTTTCATGTGCAAATTTTACTTATTTGACATAAAAGAATTGTGCGCTCGGTCAGGCAATGGTGGCACATGCCTTTAATCCCAGCACTCGGGAAGCAGAGGCAGGAGGATCTCTGAGTTCAAGGCCAGCCCGGTCTACAAAATGAGTTCCGGGAAAGCCAGGGCTGTCACACAGAACCCTGTCTCGAGACCAAAAAACAATGTGCACTCATGCTCACATAATATATAACTTTAAAAATAAAATCTTTTAGAAAAATCAGTGCTGCTGCTCCAGGAAACCTGTCTAGAATTTCAGCCAGCGTGGAGAAGTATCTCCACTAGCTGACATACTTCCGAGGACAGTACCATGCAGCCACCTGCCCCGTGTCAGCTTCCTTCTCTGTGGATACTCACACTCCATCCCACCGAGTCCATCGGCAATCCAATGAGACGGGTTTAATCATCTAATGTTTATAGACTATAAACTGTGCCTCTGAGGGACTAACCTGTGCTCAGAAGGGCAAAGCAATCAAATCCACACCTACGTACAGCTCTCCCCTGTTCTCCATAACCAGCACAGACTTCCTGTCTCCTCCTCATTCTGAGGTCATTACATGAATGACTTTGAGTACCCTTCACCTGTCTGGTGTGTGCACACAGGTTCCAACTAGACCAAGACACTCACTTAGGAATTAAATATTGCTTTCTTAACACGGGCCATGTGCCAAGCAGAATCAAAAACAGATTCTGAATAAGGAGCAACATTTTTCATGAGTGCCATTCTAAACAGAAGGTATTAATAGCCACAGAAAGTCTTCCGCAGTGGATGAAGATTGGTCGGCCAATGATCTCCTTCAGTAGATTCTTAACAGAAAAATAAACCTAAAGGCTTTAAGTTTAGTGTTCAATAAGCACAACTCACCATGGTAAGGAGAAAGCGTACCGCCATGAAGCTGAAATAATCTAATATAAAGATGGACGCTGTTCCAAAAAAGAACACAGCGATGCTTGTGCTCCACAGAACTGTCCGTCTTCCGAATCTGTAAAAACGAGAGCACAGCGGGAGTGCCGGCGTGGCTGTCACAGTCTGAGTTGTCCCTGAAAGACGAGCATTGACATCTTGCGTTTCATTTCTGTTCGCCGTTTGTTTTGAACAAATCTTGAGTCAGCACGCATCTTAAGACCGGCCTTTCGGTGGGGAGGCCTCCAGCTAAGCTGCTGAGATGCACATGGAACTACTCTGGGCCTTGCACGTAGGACCAAGGGAAATTTCTCTCCTTCCCAGCCCTCGACCCTGTGTGTTTTCTCTGTTAGCTGATTCCGCCAATCAAGGCTGCAGCAGCTAACCCCCTTAAAACCTGGTCCCTGGGGCCTGAGGGATGGCTCCGTGGTTAAGAGCCCTGGCTGCTCTTGTGGGGGACCTGGATTCACCTCCCAGGACCTGCATGGTGGTTCACAGCTGTCGGTAACTCCAGTCCCAGGACACCGGACACCCTCTTCTGGGCTCTGTAGCACCACAAATGCATGCTGTGCATAGACTCATGCAGGTGAAACACTCATAGAGAGAAAATTAAAATAAATAAATCTTTCCAAACAAAGCTGACATCTTGCTAGCTTCTACTCCTGAGTGGTATTATAACTGGGAGAGGGATTTTTGGGGGTGAAAAAGAAAAAACCTGACATTTCCACATGATTCAAATACCTTAAAATAAAGCCTTCCCAGGTAAACATGGGGCTTTTAGTAGATTTGCAAAGTTGGACAACCACAGTTTCTGTTTTATTCTGAGACCTATACATCATCTCCCCCGGAGACGTGACCCGAGGAACCCACTTTCCATTCCCTGTGTGCCCAGGAGACACCAACCCCATTCCCTGTCTTCCAAGCCTTTGGAAACCACCAATCCATTTTCTCTCATTTGTTGTTTTGGGAAATTTCATATAAATGGAGTAAACAATATGTGGCCTTTGTCTGTTCTCTTTTACTCGGTGTCATGGTCTCCTGATTCACCTGTCACAGCATGAGTCAGTTCCTCACTCCTTTTCTCGGCACGACTCAGCACTTCACTCCTTTTTCACAGCTCAGTAATATTTCCTTACCCCTCAGGGAGCGCACCCTTAACTCTTTCAATGCTGTCCTGAGCATTTGAGACCAAGATTTGGAGAGGACTTTGTTTTTACCACTCCATCTGACTTTTTTGTAGCACTGCCAAACTGTTTTCCAAGATGACTGCCCTGGTTTTCCTGCCCTGCCGGCAGCAAGAGTCACAGTTCTTCACACCCTCACCGATGCCTGTAGTCACACCAGTGAGTATGAACCAATATCTCACCATGGCCTCAAGTTACATTTTTCTAATGTCGAGAACCTTCTCAAGAGTCAATTGGCCATCTGCACTTATTCTTAGAGAAACATCAATCGGAGTCCTCGCATGGCTTTAAATTAATTTTTTATGTTGAATTTTAAGAGTTATATATATATTTTCCAAGTGTGGTGGCACATATCTCTAATCCCAGTACTCAGAAGACAGAGGCATGTGGATCTCTGTGAGTTTGAAGCCAGCCTGGTCTACATAATGTATTCCAAGACAGCCAGGTCTATGTTTCAAACCCACTACCCAAGAAAAGAATTATCTATATTTTGGATACAAAATCCTTGGCAGATATATGGTTTGAAAATAGACTTTTGCCTATGTGTGATCTTGGCAAATCATTTTAAGAAAATGGATATAAATATGGATTACATATTCCAGCCAGTAGGTTTACTTGAGACAGCCAATGAAGTGCAAACAAACAGGAAACTGGCATGGCCATAGCCTTTGTCTTAGTTAAGGGTTCTATTGCTTTTGATGTAACACCATAACTAAAAGCAAGTTGGGAGGAAAGGGTTTATACAGCTCCTACTCTCACCTCACCGGAAGTCAGGGCAGGAACTCCAGCATGACTAGAACCTGGAAACAGGAGCTGATGCAGTGGCCATGGAGGGGTGCTACTAACTGACTTGCTCCTCATGGCTTTCCCAGAGATGGCACTACCCACAATGGGCTGGGCCCTCCCCCATCAGTCACCATTAAGAAAATGTCCTACAGTCGGATCGGTATTATGAAGGCATTTTCTCAACTGAGGTTCCTTCCCTTTAGATAACCGTAGCTTGTGTCAAGCTGAAATACAACTAGCCAGGACAATTGACCCCTTGCCAACTTGACACACAAACTCATCACTGTTAAGCCACAACCTTTCCTTTCTTGTCTGTCCCCAAGATCTCATATTAGTATGTATAGCACAATATAAAATATTCCAAAAAATTCAGTCTCTTTAAAATCCAAAGCCTTTTAAAATTCAAAGTCGCTCAGCTGTGAGCTCCTGTAAAATCAAAAGTAAGTGTTTCAAGAGGGAAGAGCCAGAAGACAGTCATAATCAAATCAAAGCAACCGCAAACTCCAAGAGAAACTCAAATGTCCAATGATGGGGGTTCTGGCCTCCTCCAGGGAGCCTGAGTCATTTCTCCAGCTCCACCCTCTGCAGCACACACTGCCTGCCTTCCAGGCTCCAGCTGACTCTGCTCCTGGTGCTCTTCCTGGTGGCCATCCCATGATGCTGGGTCTTCTGTAGCAACTGGGCTGCAGGCTCACCAAATAGCCTCTCATAGGCTCTCTTCACGGTGCCAAGCCTCATCTTCTGTGCATGACCCCTTCAGTCCTGGGCCTTCAGCTGCCACCGAGGCTGCACCTTCACCAGTGGCCTCTCCTGGTCTCTCCCCCTGCTGAGCCTCAGTTGTTCTCCAGGACCCCTTCGTGCCTTCAAAACCAGCACCACCTAACACTACCAAGTTTGGCTGCCAGCACAAGGTACAACCTTGGCCGCGTCTGAACACAGCTTCTGTGTGCTGACTCTCAGGAAACACCTCACAGATTTTACCTCAAAGATGCTGGTCTCTTCTTAACCTCTGTTAATTCCTCAGCTCCAGCTGACCAGCAGCGAGCATCCCAGCAAAGCAAAGGTTTCACCTTAGTGGTTCTGGTTGTTAATCACAGCTGGCTTTTTAGCCACAGCTAATCAGAACCATGGAATCCTAATTCAAAACAACAAAAGGCCCCAGTAGAGTCTTTGAACTTTCCTCTGAAACGTCACAAGCCAAAACTCCATCCTCTGCACTGCCTTCAACATTCTTATCTTCCAAGGTCCCACAGAACAGTTCGTCAAACATTGAACACTCAATGACTTTTCTATCCTAAAGTTCCAAAGTCCTTCTGCAATCGGACCAAAAATGTGGTCAGGTCTGTTACAGTAATATTCCACAATCTTGGTGCCAATTTGTCTTAGTCAGAGTGTCTATTGTTATAATGAAACACCATGACCAAAAAACAAGTTGAGGAGGAAAGGGTTTATCCAGCTCACACCTCCACAGCACAGTACATCATTACACAAGAACTCAAGCAGTGCAGGATCCTGGAGGCACGAGCTGATGCAGAGGCCATGGAGGAGTGCTGCTTACTGGCTTGCTCCCTGTGGCTTGCTCAGCCTGCATTTTATAGAACCCAGAACCGCCAGCCCAGGGGTGGTACCACCACAGTAAGCTGGGCCTTCCCCTATCAATCACTAAGAAAATGTCCTACAGCCAGATCTTACGGAGGCATTTTCTCAGCTGAGGTTCCCTCCTTTCAGTTGACTGTAGCTTGTGCAGAAAGCTTGTCTGCACAGCTTTCCTCGGGCTCCTTGATGTCCACACACATCAGTAGGAACAACTGGCCGGAGTCATGGGTGGGGTGCTTCCCAGTGCCGTCTGAGACCTGAACGCCACTGAAAAGAATTGTTTGCTGCTGCTGGGAAGCCCTTCCACCACGCAGATGTCTTCACTCTCTGCAGGGGCACAGCCACCTCTGAATGACCACAGACCATCAAAAAGGACAGCCCTCAGCTTCCTGTCCCGCCCACCTGCCTGCACAGTCAGCACCTCCCACCTCCTCCTAGCCCCGTCTACCTGGTTCTTCTTTCCCTTCTCTTCTAGCCCCTTCCTTCCAGTTTGAATCTCATCACCCTGAATGATAACCTTCTCTCGAACCCAAGGCATCTTCAGCCACCTTGCATTTACTTCGTCATCAGTAACAGAGGGACCACACCACTGACTGCTACCTATCTTCATATCTTCCAGCCTTAGTTACCCTCCCCACTCTACAGTATCCTTTCCATAATCCAGAGACAGTGCACGCTGTTGAAAGCATCCAGACATGCCCTTCTCTCTCTCTCTCTCTGGGTATTTTCTGGCAACATCACCTGCTACCCAGGCTTCTAAACCTTAACACACACACACACACACACACACACACACACACACACACGGAACGCACACATGCACACACATACACACCAGCCTCCCCTGTTCCCTGCATATTCATCACTATATCATTTCAGTTTCAAAATGCCTCCCAGGGGCTAGAGAGATGGCTCAGAGGTTAAGAGCATTGCCTGTTCTTCCAAAGGTCCTGAGTTCAATTCCCAGCAACCACATGGTGGCTCACAACCATCTGTAATAAGGTCTGGTGCCCTCTTCTGGCCTGCAGGCATACAAGCAGACAGAATATTATATACATAATAAATAAATAAATATTTAAAAAAAAACAAAAAAAATGCCTCCCAGAAATGCCTTCGTCTTTCCCTGTCCACTTCCCCTGCTTTCCCTCAACCCTCCGTTGCTTACGTCGCTGATTCCAGCTGATCTCTCTCGCCTCACACCATGGCACCACCCACATCTCTAGAAAGTAAACTCTGCTGGCCCTGCTTCTGTATCTGGTCGTTTCCGTATCCACCTGTTTCTTCTGCCCTCCAAACCTTCCTTGTATCTACCAGACAGAAAGGAAAGAACTCGATTTGCTTTGAGTTCACATCTTCCGTTCTCTGATGCGGGATTTTAGGCATCCATTATATGGAGCAAAGGAATTTCAGCACATTTACTCGGTGCACAGACTGCATCTGCTTGAAATATGTTTTGTTTCAGCCTCGAGCGCTGAGCACATTTCAACAGAAAATGCCGAGAAGATAATTTGTACACCCATCTGCCAGATGAGAACAGCAATACTCAGCACCTATGAGCGTTCACAGGAATAGGAATGGCCCTGGCCACAACAGAGCCCCGACATTTCTCTTTAGACGGATTTCACAGCTGTCTTAGGCTGCTATTCCCTAGAGCCAAGGGTTGCTGATCTAAGCTGCTGTCTCTAAGTCCCCAGGGCCCAAATCACGCTTGTAAACTCACAGCTGCGAAGACCAAATATCCATCTCTGTTTTGGCAGAGGCACATAAGGCATGCAGCAGGGTCTGTAGCTCCAAGACGAAGTTTGCTTTATTTTAGAGTTCTACATTTATTTTAGTGTGGATGCTTAAAAATATGACTATTCTGTGTTTTGCAAGATGGTATGCCCTCCAAAATTAATGGTGAAATACAATCCCCAAAAATGCTCGAAATGATCATGTCATGAAGACTCCGTCCTCCTTATAAAAGGGCTCAAGACTGACGGGACAATTCTCCAGTCCTCACGTTCCTTCTTCTCTGTGAGGACACTATATCTCTGGAGGCTTCAGCGATGCTTCCATGATGGAAGCAGAGAGCAGTCCTCGTGTTGCTAACACTTTTATCTCAGACATCCCAGTCCCCAGAGTGAGAAATGAATCCCTGCTGTTTATAAATCACCAGTATGTGGCATTCTTGCTAAGGCAGCACAAAGAGACTACAACAAACCAGGCAGCCAGATTTTCACATTTATGGATATTAGGACCTAAGGCCAGGCTAGCTCTCTTTAAAATCAAGTCTATTTAAGGGGAAAATAAACAAAGAAATAGCCATTATCCATCAAGTGGCTGTATGTCCCAAGTAGTTTCTTCTGTATTTCTCATTTGAAGAAAGCTTCAGGGGGAATAAGTGGGGCGGGGAGGCGGGGGGCTCAGCTTATAAACTAGGATTCTGAAACAGGTGAGCGAGTCAGATTTCCCAGCAAGCACAGGTGATCGGCAGTACAAGCAGCATCCATGCCCAGACAGGCTGCTCAGTGGGTCATCTTAACACGGTGCTACTCTGCACTCCTAAGTGAAGGGCCAGCAGGAGGGTGCACTTTAGATAGGGTGTTTGAAAAGACCTGGAGCTTTGGACATGATGCTCTGTCCCACCAGGAAACCCAGACAGAAAACTGAATCCTACACCGTGCAACAGTGCTAAATATTTCATTTTTACCTGTCAGAAAGGTAGCCAAAAATAATTGATCCCAGCAGCATGCCAAATATAAACAAGGGCTGGATCATGTATGCATACCATTTCCATTTGCAGACCAGGTTCAAGTTTTCCACCACAGAATTTCTCCATTTGCTGTGGTCATACACATAGCCATCAGAGCAAGAGCTGTTGAGCCCATAGCCACTGGACTCGTGGTTCAAGTCTGACTTGTTCTCCCTCCAGGTCCTGCTACATCTTGTGAGCTCCCAGATCTGCCCATCCTGCAATTCCACGGTAATGTGATCTTTCTGGTCTGGGGACCGCAGGGCCAGTATGTCCTCCAAACTCCAAGCAGATAAGTTATGAAAAACAGCCCTCCGAATCTTGCCTGGGGGCCTGCAAGCATGCTCGGGGATACTCGACATGAACACAGAAGCCAGGTAGTGCATGCCACAGGAGATGTTCTGGTAGGCACATATCATATACAGGATTATTTGGAACCTGTAAAGAAAAGAAAGGGCTGGTTGTTATAGCTGGCCTATGGATGGGGCAAGAACACAAGTAAGTATGAAGGGACTCCATCTGGTCAACCTTAATACACTTATACACGTATAGATGGGTAAATACAAAAATAATTGTAGGTGCTTCTCTCTCATACAAGTGAAATATGTATTACATATGTATATATTTCAAGTAATACACTAAATTCTACTTACACTCGCATCTCATTAGGTCATTCCAACACACAAGCTTGCTAACTAGCTCGAGTTTATGGACCAATCAACCTTTGTCCATAATAAGTCACGGAAAAGATTGGAAAGCCAATTTAACTTTAAAAAACTTCATATGTACTAATTTTTCTAAACCAAACTGAAAGACCCCCGGAGTGGGGAGACTCTCACTCAAGTCTCGGGATAACACGACCCCCCCCCCACAACTCACAAGAGACCATCCTTGCTGCAATCACACGAGGTTTATTGACAGGACAGGAACCAGTGCACTGGGACCGAAACTCATTTCCCACGCAGGGGTAGAGGAGTTTGACCCCAAGTAGCTGGGAGAAGGGGTATTTAAGGGAAGAAATAACCCAATAACCCAAAGGGGGTAGGGAGGGTGTCATTGGAAAATTCCGAAAATACCAGTGATCATTGGAAAAGTCCGAAAATACCGGTGATAATCACAAGGGGGTAACTCCCTGTTTCTCAAGATGATTCTCAAGATTATAATCTAACTGTATGGTCAGCTAGTTCCTGGAACAGAGTCACTGAACCGGCTAACCTAGAGTTTTGGTTCTTCTCTCCCTGCTAGATTTTTTTTTTTTTTGGCTCTACTCTTTCTGCTAGAGAGGTCTGAATTTATCTGGGTCTTTCAAAACTTGAGCGTATCTCTACTTTTCAACCTGTGATTCAAGCACTGGGTGTCACCATTTACCCTTGAAGGTAATAAAGCCTGCTCTCACTGAGACCAGAGATCAACATCCATGACCCCAAATTTAAGTTTGTTCGTTCTGCCTCTAACCACAGAACGTTGTGGAGGCCCGAAAATGTGAGCCTATTTCCACACTGACCAAAGGTCAGAGTTCGGACTTGCCTCTAGTTTTTTCAAGGTTATTATGCTTCTACCTCAAACAAAGGTACCACCTAGACACACCAGAGAGTTCTGCTCTCTCAAGGTGTGGCAAGACCTTGTGCTCCAGGAATAGAGAAGTAGATTGTTCCTACCTCAAACAAGACTTTAAGGATCCAACTAAGTTCCAGTTCCCTTTATAAAGATAACTTGGGATTCTACCCCAGGCGGTGGTTTGCCTACAGTTTTGGTCTAGGGTGTAAGCAAGACTTGTTTTTTTCTAGAAACAGAATGTTTAACTATGAATGTAGCCCTCGATTTTCAACTTGTCTGTTCATTTCCTTGTATCATAGTAATGCAGTCTTTTATCTTACTCCTACCTTCTAGGGTCAGGGATATTTTAAGCAGTTGGAAATTAAACGTGGATGAATTTTCAGTACTCACTGGAGTTCCCTCCTGATACTATCATATATGTTTCTCAGTTTTATTATTTTCATTGACATCTTCATGTTCTTTACTATATTTCTAATCCCCAAGCCTTTACCCTGGAGAGCGGTATTTTTGTCGTGGCTGTTCCCCGACAGAACATTGAAAGCTTAACTGTTTCTCAGTGAGTGGATGGTTAAGTTACAGCGGCAGGCACTGACTGCCTGGGAGATGCAGACTCTGGGCTTGAAATTCAAAGAGAGCCGTGAGCAGTGTCCCCGTTACTGTTTTTGCCAACTTGACACAAGAGTCATTTGAAAAGAGGGAATCTCAATGGAGAAAATGCTTCCAACGGATTTGCCTGTAGGCACATCTATTTGGTGGGTTTTCTTGATTTGGGAGGACCTACCTCACTGTGGGCAGTGCCATCCCTGGACTGGTGGTCCTGGGGTGTGTAAGAAAGCAGACCAGGCAAGTCATGAGGAGCAAGCCAGTAAGCCATCTCTCCATAGCCTCTGCATCAGCTCCTGCCTCAGAGTTCCAGCCTTGAGTTCTTGGCTTCACCTCAGTAGACTATAACCCAAGCAAGATATTTAAGCCCAATAAAGCTGTTCCTCCCCAGGCTGGTTTTGGTCAGTATTTTTACCATAACAATAAGAGAAAACTATGTGTGCTGTTTACCTGAGACCTTTGGGCTTGTATCTAACCAGTCTCATCCTATTGGAGTGGCTCCACCTGAGACATACTCCACATCTGTCTCAACAGAGATTTACATGGTACTCTCCCTAGCAACACCCACTGAGTCAAGAGGGGAAATCGGGGCTTGTCACATAGTGTGTTCCCTAGTTTTCTGTAGGAAACTAAACAGTCACACACAGCCTCCTCTTCTTTCTGTAAATAATAAAGATATGCCGCCCTAGAAAGATTTGTACTGCCCTGTTTTATGTGACCATTAAACATAAATTTAGTGGAATCAGAGATGGTTCCATCGGTAAAGTAACACGCCACACAAGCTGAAGGACCTGTAGGCAAAGACTGTTCATTTGTTTCCCAGCCACCCAGACCCAAAATAACCACACAGAAACTGTATTGACTGCAATACTATTTGGCCAATAGCATAAGCATATTTCTAGCTAGCTCTTACATCTTAAATTAACCCATGTCTATTATTTTATATTTTACCACGAGGCTCATGGTTTACCAGTAAGATTCCAGGGCATCTGTCTCCTTTGGCAGCTACATGGCATCTCCATGACTCTACCTTCTTTTCTCCTCTATCTCTGCTTGGAATTCCTGCCTTGCTCTACTCTGCCCTGTCATAGGCCCAAGATGCTTCTTTATTCATTAGCCAATAAAAGCAACACATATACAAAAGGACACCCTACACCAAGGACCCAAGTTGAGATCCCCAGCACTCACTTAAAAAGTCAAGTGAGGCAGCCAATAGGTATAATACGGATGTTGCTATGGTGATTGGGAAGACACTGAGGCTTTGCTGACCATGGGCAGCCTCTCGGTGATCTCCCGATCCTGTGAGAGACTTTGTCTTAAGCAAGATGAAGGAGCTGGAGAGACGGCTCAGCAGATAAGAGCACTTGATACTCTTCCAGAAGACCCTGGTTCAATTCCCAGCACCCACAACAGGCAGGCAGCTCACAAATGCTATTCACTCTTGTTCCAAGGGATATGACACCCACCCTACCCCCAGCCTCTATGGACACAAACACACCGGAGGACAACTGAAGAAGACTCCCAACAGCTGACCGCTGGTCTCCGATTGCACATACATGGGCACACAAAGATACATACATATCCATACCACACATACACAAAATAAAGTTAATTTAAAAACAACAAAAAGGGCCAACTAGAACAAATGGATAAAACAGGAGGTGGGTGGCATCTAATGGGCACACTGACCTCACATTCTGGTAGAGGCATCTGACCTTTCCCCAAGGACAAGCTGCTTTCTGAGTCAGTCCTGCTCACCATAACAGAGACTAGGGAACTAGGGCAAGCCAGGACTTACTGAGAACTTACTAGACTGTAAGACTTTTACCTGTCTGTATCACTGTGGCCAACTAAAAGTCATTTCTACAAAGGCTTTGACCCTCTTCTCCCACCCAGGGAGCAGTGTCTGACACTGAGGATGATGGAAACCCCTGCTGGGGAGTGGGGTTTGCTGGTGACAGCAGCATTGCTCATGCCTGGTCCCTGAGTAATCCAGGGGTAGAGTCCACTTGGGAGAGACCCTCCCTCTGCAGTCCAGGCTGGCCTAGAACTCACTGTGGAGATCAGGCTGGCCTCAAACACTCAGCAGTCTCCTGCATCCGTCTCTCTGGGATTACAGTCATGAGCCACCACACCTGGCCATTGAGTGATTTCTAAACTAGAACCTTAACCAAACACTGACTACTACACACCTACTTTAGCGAGCTCCTAAACACAAGGAGAAAATAAGACATCATACCTCCTGTCTTACAGGGCTGCTGTGGGTCCCACGTGTCTATAGAAACCCATGCTAACCTTTTCTTTTTGTCGGTTCCTTTTAAAACCGTGTCTTTCTAGGTAGCTCAGGCTGGCCTGGATCTTTCTGTCAATTTCTGTCTGTCACCTGCCCCAAACTGGAACTACATGTGTGTGTGCCATCTCTGACTGTATTAAATATATTTCTAGAGTTATTTGTAAGTATCCAAAGTACATTATTAGCCCCATTTTACAGATGAGTAGTAGTCACTGAAACATTCAGGCCCATTATAGTTCACACATGGGAGCTGATCCCTTCGTCTGTGTGTGACTCCGCCGTGAGCCTTTAACCCTACAGCCTCCATTTCCCAGTCATTCAAAGACTCTAACATGTCTTCTGCAGTGAGCATCATATTAAGAACTGTGTGTAAGCTCCCTACAGAGTACCTGGCACATGTCCGGTATCTGTGTGGCAACCAGGCCAGAGAACAGACCAGGCCCAGAGGGAGAGCTCGGGATAGAAACAGTCATCTTGAACACTGGAAGAGAAGCCGGTTGGGCTGGCAGGGTTTCTACTAGACCTGTGACCATTCCTCCCAATGATGATTTTCGAGCTGATGGTCTAGAGAGCACCCCAAGTCCCAACTTCCCCATAGGGCACGGCTATTGCCTGCACCCACCAAGTCCAAGCGGACTCTAGCGCCTCCTGTGGCCAGAAGCCAAGAGGACAAGCCAGGCCATGGGCTGTGGGCGAGACCTCTGCAAGCGCTGGGCAAAGAGGGCATGGAGAAGCTGTAGAACCCCATCCCAACCGACAGAAACAGACACCTCTGCGGCCCCAACGCGTGCCGCCCCCACTCTGGCCCCAAATCCTTCTCTGCCTCCCTACTTGCCAAAGTGTCCCACGTGGTCAAAAATCAGTTCCACGTTGCAGGACTCCATATCCCTGTCGCGGATGGGAATGCCCTGGGCTGTGAGCACCAAGCCCCACCGGCCCTGCCCGCAGGATGCCCCTGCACCCCCCGCCCCACCCCCACCTTCCTTCCCAGCAGCCCACGAGTCTTGGGGTGGCAGGGCGGGGCACACCCTGATGCTCCATCGCACGTGCCTTCAACTTTGCTGGATGATTTCCCACACCCTCCAACCTCCTGGAACATCCCCATGATCCAGGAAAGCACCTGCCCCACTCGGCCTCGAGAGCATCCCATCTTCAGCAGGACACGTCCCTGCTTCCTAAGCTGTCTTGCTTAAGAATCCACCGTATAGTGGGTTTTAAGTGCTCGTTTATTTATTGACTCCACTCCCTGTATCCAAGCTGGTTTTGTCAAACTCAGGAGCCTCCTGCCTCTGCCTGCCCTGCCCACCCCACACCCCCAACACCAGCCCTCAGTGTTAGGACTGCAGGACAACTTGGTTTTTAATCCCTTTTGCTCTCATACTCCATAACCTTTTTTCCTGAAGAACATTCTTGTTGCTCAACCTTTAAAATAGAACTTGAGATCCCGGAGAGAGAGATGGCCCAGCAGTTAGAGCGCTTGTTTGGAGCAACAGCTACTGGAGGCGTTAACTTTAGTTCCGGGAATTGATCGCCCTCTTCTGGCCTCCACAGGCACCTGCACACACTCGGATATAGACACATGGATAATTTCAAATGGAAACCAATTGGTGAACTCCCCCTCTGTGCTTGTATGGGGAACCACAGCCACCGTTAGTTGTTGGGTACAATGGTCAATGGTCTTGTCACACCTAGACAATACTGTTTTGATCAAGTCCCCCCCACACACACACTTCTGGCCCTTAGAATCTCTTCTCCCTTCCCTCTCTCCCTCCCTTCCTCTCCCACCCCTATCCCCCCTCCATTGTTTCTCTGACTCATCTATACTCTGCCTCACTCTGGCCTCCTCATGAACCTCATACACAGCCCTCACCTGAAACTCTGGACTTCCACCCTCACTCCTCCTTCTACCTGAAACTTCTTGGCTCTTCAGCCGCTCCACGGTTTAGATGTTGCCTTTGCTCCTATAACACCAATCATCATTACTGCCTAGCCTCTTTTCAGCTACCCCCTGTGGGAGTGATTTCTTATTAATAAAGAAACTGCCTAGGCCCATTTGATAGGCCAACCCTTAGGTAGGCGGAGAAAACAGAACAGAATGCTGGGAGAAAGAAGCTGAATCAGGAGTTGCCATGATTCTCCCACTCCAGACAGATGCAGGTTAAGATCTTCCCTGGTAAGCCACCTCATGGGCTACATAGATTATTAGAAATGGTCTAGTCCGGGTGCGAGAGTTAGCCTAGAAGAGGCTAGATATAATGGGCCAAGCAGTGTTTAAAAGAATACAGTTTCCGTGTAATTATTTTGGGTATACAGCTAGCTGGCAGCTGGGAGCTGGGGCGGCAGGGAAGCGGCCTGCTCCTCTCAACAACCCCCCCTTTTTTTAAATTTTTCTTCAACCTGTGTTGATTGCCTTGGTGGGTTACTTAGTCTAGGGTTAGTAACCCACCTAGCAGTTCAGTTATTCCAGGGTCCCGGAGAGGCACTACCTGTAAGATATGAGCTAGGAGACAGGAAGAAGGCTAAGCAGGGTTTCTTGTCAAAGCCTCCGTTTATTAGAGATGGGGTACAGCTTTATATAGGGTAAGGAGTTGGGGGTGGGCACAGGGGCCTGGGCTCTTGCCGCGTGGTTCACGTTGGTCACATGGTCCTCGTTGGTCATGTAGGCAGGAGGTTATCTTCGGTCAGGTCACCATAGGCCAAGAAGTCATGAGTTGACACACCTAAATCTTTAGATAGTTTGGAATGTGGGATGGGTTCCGCTAACAGATAACTCTCCATAAACAGCCAATTTGGGTGTGGGGTAGGCTCTGTCAATAGAAGGATTCCTAACACAATTATGGGTGTGGGGTTCTCTGCAGACTCCCCAGGGTGATGGTTCCTGTAATGATTTTAGGAGGAAATTGGCTCCTGACAAACCTGATCACACACTTAATACAACATGTAGCACCTGATCTCACTTCTGTAAGATATAATCTCCATGACAGGAACCACTTTGACACATAGTAGGCGCTCAATAAATATGTGTTAGATGAACAAATGGGCACAGATCTACGTATAAGAAATCACACAAAATTTAAGCATCGTCCTAAGAATAGCAGCATTCCCACACTTGAGTGGAAGAAGGGGAAAGTCTGGCTCAAACTTCACCCAGGACCAGGCAAGGGTCAGACTTCCTAAGGAGGAATCTACTAACAGTAAGCTTCTCCTTAGAAACATAGACAGGGTTAACTGGTGGCTGGAAGAGATGTGGGATGGCACAGGTGGGAAAAGCAGAGACTGAGTCTTTCCTGACACCCCAGCTTTTATAGTGTTTGTGTGTGTGCAGCTTCATCTCTGTAGAAGAAGTCACTAAACTGGGCAGCTTGAACCCTTGACAGGGAAGTGTTCTGCTTCCCTGGAGCCCAGGGGCCTCCAGGCCCAGACCCTCCTCAAAGCCGAGTCTTGGAATCATACCTAGTTCCCCATACACAGTAGAAAGAAGACAAAGAGCAAAGAAAGTGGCTAAGTACGTGGATGAACCAAGGCTGGTATTTTAACGAGGGACCTTGTCCAGAGATCTAGAAGGATCTTAATGTAAGCATTTAGGATCAGGGGCTGAAGAGATGGCACAGCAGTTAAGAGGACTGGCTGGTCTTCTCGAGAACCAGGTTTGATCCCAGCATGCATGTGGCAGCTCACGATGATATTGACAAAAATGGCTCTAAAACAAAGAGCAGGTGTGAGGAAGAGAGATTGCTACATTTCTTTCTGGGTATATTGGTTACAGAGGAGAATTCAGGAATGAGGTACACTAAGCCTTCTGAAGGACTTGTGTCTGTACTGGGCATTCTCAACCACAGCACCAACCTGCCTGGGCAGTGCTCTGATGGAATATCTCTGCAAACCGGGTATTACACAGACTTATAAAGAACCCCAACAGTCTACTATTTAATCTGGGAACAAATTACATATTAAACAATGATGACCTGTGATGTAGGAAGGCCTTCTATATATGTGTTGCTTTTACTGGTTAATGAATAAAGAAACTGGCTTGGTCTGATAGGGCAGAGTAGAGCTAGGTGGGGAAAAACTAAACTGAATGCTGGGAGAAAGAAGGCAGAGTCAGGGTGACGCCATGTAGCCACCGCCAGAGACAGACGCACCAGAACTTTGATGGTAGACCACGAGCCTCGTGGTAAATATAAATTAATAGAAATGGACTAAATTAAGATGTAAGAGTTAGCTAGGAATATGCTAGAGTCATTGGCCAAGCAATATTTTAAATAATATAGTTTCTGTGTGATTACTTCGGGAGTCTGGGCAGCTAGAAATGAACAAGTGATCTCTGACAACAGGCCTGGGCTGCTACTTAATCAGTTCACTTCCTTCATAACATACATCTTGGATAAAGATCACCCAGTAACAGCAAAGCTGCAAGTTAGGAGTCCCTGACTCTGACGGTCTGAGACACTTAAGTAGGATAACGATAGATTATATTAAAAATGGGACCAAGCCGGGCAGTGGTGGCTCACGCCTTTAATCCCAGCACTCGGGAGGCAGAGGTAGGTGGATCTCTGTGAGTTCGAGACCAGCCTGGTCTACAAGAGCTAATTCCAGGACAGGCTCCAAAACCACAGAGAAACCCTGTCTCGAAAAACCAAAAAAAAAAAAAAATGGGACCAAAGCCAGGACAGCTCCTGAAGGGCCTCCATACTGGGTTCAGTTTGCATTCTCATTTTACACTGTAAAACCACATGGTGGAATGAACAAGCAAGCAAGATTTTACAGAAGCAAATATGGCAGTCGGCAGAGTGTTAGGGGCAATGACCCACGGTTATACTTATTCCTCCAGGTCATTCGTCCCAGGTAGCAAGTGAAGTCCTGCTTGGCAAATGGGCAGTGCAAGCCATGTGCTGGCAGATCTGTGACAACCTGACACACATACTCGGGCTACCTGAAAAGAGGGAACCGTCACTGAGAAAATGCCTCCATGAGATACAGCCGTAAAGCATTTTCTTAAGCAGTGATTGATGGTCCTGGGTTCTATAAGAAAGAAGGCTGAGAAGCCATGAGGAGCATGCCAGTATTTGTCAAACATTTATCATTTATATTAAGTTTCCAAGTCAGTTATTAGGAAAGCAGCGGCCAGTTATTTGGAAGCAGGTCGTTAGGGCATGAAAACTACATTTGGGGAGTATTTCCTCAGGGCCAGCAGGGAGAAGCTCTGGTACAGTTGGGAACCAAGGATGCACGTCAGTCTGGCAACAGAACCTGGCAAATATTGTGTAAGAGTCTCCCAGGCAGTACTGGGTTTGAGGGCATTGTGAGGTTATGGAGAGCAGCCAACGCCTGACATTGTGTGGTAGGGTCAGAGTCTCCCTGAAGAGAGGCCAGAAGAGGCCGTTAGTGAAGATGCTTTGGAAACCCCAGGAGGAAGGGGACATGGAGGGAAGTTGAGGCTTGGCCCCACATAGCAGGGCTGGAGTCTCTGAAGAGGCAGGAGAGCCCATTGATGAAAGGGTAGCCTCTGTTGCGGTTGAGACCCCAGGCTATTAGAGATGCCAGGACCATGGGAAAACCACCAAGGGCAGCTAGCTGCAGGTAGGAGTCAAGGCAAACCGAGCCCACTGAGCAAACTCTGGGTGTTGCAGATCACAGAGCCAGAGAAGTGGAACTGCCCAAGCCCCTTGGAGCCCAGAAGATTGTGAGTGAACCCCAGATGCCAGACACTGAGATTCTTAGACTATTAGATTTTGGGTTTGGGTTGATCTGATTGTATTTGTGCCCAGGGTTCTTCTCTTTGGGGGTAAATAAGTATTTAACTTGATTTTTATTTTACAGGAACACATAGTTAAGAGATTTTGGATATTATAAAAGACTTTAAACTTTTAAAGTATTTGAGTTT